AAAGTCTAGTTTTACTTGATTCAGCACACACATGTATTAAATATAGAGGTTGTATTGCCAGCTAATGGCCAACCTTTTATTAACGTAACAAGCCCTAAGTATCGCGTTCTTAATTGATAACTTTTTATTAAATTTACTCTTTTCATTCGTTCTATTTTCAGATTTTAAGTCGTATGTACACATACTTGGGGACTCCAATACTTGCACTTACTTATAACGATGTATACAAACTAAGGAAATGGGGAAAGACCAACGAAAATACAACGGGAAATGTACATACTCAACTTTTATATCTCTAAACTTCATATGGTTTTACAATCTGAAAGAGGGAGGCAGGACCCATCAATTACTATATATATATATATATATATATATATATATATATATATATATATATATATATATATGAATTCTTATGTACTTCTAAAGGTTGTTGATTATGTGATTAGTAAAAGTTTGTTTGTTTCAGCTAATGCTTCAAGCCATTACTTGCCATCCACGCTCGGTGGATTGCTTCCCATGACACCAAGGTCAACATATTTACCTGGTACACCAGGTGACAAACCATTGGCATTAAGGATTTTTTGGACATGATATGTTAAACAAGAAGGTGTCCCTTATTAGCAATGTAGTATTAGGTTATACAACTAAGGAAACCCCTTAACACAAATGTACTATTAGATCCCCTTAATATCAATGTATTACAATTTTTATAATAACTTGTTTGATATGATGTTATTGGATGAAATTGATTGTTTTGGTATATATGTTTTTCCATACTTTTGTATTATGCGTAAACGTGTATCCGAAAGGCACGTAGTAAATGCATATCGTAAATGGTTGTTGAAGTTAATGACATGCAAATGCATGTCATCTTCATTTATGACAGTGGATTTAATGGTACACAATGTGTGTCGTAAATGCGCGTCGTAAGGTTACGACACGCAAATGTGTGTCGTCTTCCTTGATCGCAGGGCCTTCATTTACACGCAATATGTGTCGTAAATACGCATAATAAATGCGCATCGTAAGTTTACGACATGCAAAAGCGCGTCGTCTTTCTTTATGACAGGGTCTTCCTTGACACGCATTTGCGTCTCATCGTTGGCTTTTATGACACACAATGCATGTCATTAAATGGTATTTTTGTAGTAGTGAAAGTTGTATGGTTTCAAATGAATATGATTCACTATAAATAATTTATCTTGAACTATATTGCGATTTGAATGACATCTTTTAAAAGATTTATAAAGATAAAGATTTTGTAGCGTCAATGGTTAACAAGTTGTTTGATTGGGTATGGTGTTCCCTATTTGAGGCTGAATGAAATTTATGTGCATTAACTTTATACATGATGTATAAATTTTTTTATTGCAGTAAATGCTTTAATATAATATGCAGTCAAAAATCAATTATTCCATATGTGATAATAGCATTTGTAATGTAAGCTGAGTTTGAAAAGGTACTTGCTAATTAACATCTTTTATCAAAGACGAGAACATCAACAAAGCTTGAATGTTCTTAGATTTATTCTCTCCAAATTCACAATCTTTCAAAACAATCATGAAAATGTTATACTCTATAAAAGCTCAAATGATCTCACATCTCATGGTCGAATCTTTAATTAGTGTTAGGTGGCAAGAAAACAATTTAATCACTGTCAAAGCCTTCGACAGGATGAGGGCAATTATTGAAGAGTACAACATATTGTTCCAAGAAAACTTATTTGTCCATGCACATTTGGTGTAGTATTAGTACTTGCAATGGGACAATTTGTTGCGTCATTAGCACTTTCGGAGTGACAAACTAACTATTCTTCAAAGGATTCATAGAATTAACGCTCATAACATCACAATACATGACTCGTTGAACTCTAAGGATGAACTCTACAACCTTTAGTGTAAGGAAACTAAAAGTATCAAACAGAAATATATATTTTCATGTATATTTTCATGAGACATTTTTTAAAACAACTATCACATATGTAGTAAAACCCTCAGTCCCTAAGCCTAGGATAGTGGAAACCCCAACCCCCCCCCCCCCCTTAAATCCATGCATTCATCTTTCCCTCCAACCCATCCAAAAAACAAAACATTCCACACTTTAAGTGTTATCCTCCTTCCACAGATTAGTCAAGAAATTTACATAAACAAATAAATAAAAAGTCCCTAAAACTGTACTATAATAACCAAAAAACTATGTACCTCTTCTTTGAAACAATCGACCCCAGCAAAAAGCCATAGTGGATGCTGTGTATGGATATGTCGGTTTTAGGAAAAGAAAAAAAAATGTAAAATGATAATTACAAAAGCTCAAGCGAACATTTTTTTTAACAAAGGTACTTTTAACTTTTTAACTCATAAATACTAGATCTAGTAATTACGTCATGTGAATGACAGCTGCCTAACATAGGATGCTCTCACAGTCTCACTGTTAACAAGACTTGGTGAAGCACATGTCTTTCTCTTTACTCTCTATATGTATATATATCGTACCCCCACAACTCCCGAAGAGCTTGTACACCTTCAAAAATGTCTACTCCCCCATCACTCACATCTCTTGCAAACAGAACCATGGATCAGGACAACCCCTACAATCTTGAAAACTTCCATGACCACAATTATCAATCACTCTCCGACGTGCAATCCCTTTCTACATCAGTTACCGGCAACCAGACTTTTGACGCCGCCTCTCAACTTCCGTCGTTTCAAGCTTTGGCCCGTCACCAAGAAAACTCGCAAAAGCACATGGACACCGTCACTGAATACGATCTTTATGGTCAACCACCGTCCATTGGATCGATAGAGAACCCCTGCCAGACTTCCCAACCCACTGCTGACGGCATTTATGAGGGTTATGATTTGCCACCTTCAAAAACTGATATACGTCCGGTGGGGTCATCTGTAACCGGGACTACCACCGCTGATCAAATTGGTGCTCCACAACCGTTTGGCCAAATGAGTATGACCAGCAAAGCTATAAAAAATAGCGCGCCTCATTGTTGGATTAATCGGATTTATGAGTGCAGGGGCATTTTAGGAAAATTATATATTTAAGTTTTGTTTGATTGTTTTAGAGTTTGATAAGGTTTCTATTTTACTGAGTTTATCTTTTAGATTTAGAGTTTGAGTAGGATACTATCTTAATTAGTATAAATATAGGACGTGTCTTTTCTTAATTGTATTCAGAATTTAGTTTAGCTTATTAATAAAGCTTTGACAACAAGTAACTTTCGTTGTTTGATTACCCTTGGTATTACACTTGGTATCAGAGCCTAAGGCTCGTGAAGATGTAGGGCGGCCGGTTTGAGAGTCGGTTTCAAGAAGAGTGTAGCCCTTTGCTGCGGGGCGGACGCAGCGGTAACCGAGTTCGATTTAAAAGGGTGTGGATTGTTTTTGAGCGCTAGTTGAAGCATCTCAACAGCAACCCCGATTTTTCTTGATCGGGCTTGTTCTAAGGTAGGGAGAGACTAACCGGAGGCGCGGAATAAACGGACGGGAAGACGTCAAAGTGGGTGACTTTGATTCAGTTGCGGGTGACGGAAGACGGT